GGGGGGGTGGGGTAGGGAGTGTGTGTGCAGGGGTGGGGGGAAGAGGTTAAAAAAAAAGACGGAGGAGGAGGAAGAAAGAAAGAGATCGCAGCAGGGGTAGAGGGAGCGGACGGGAAGCGCTTTGGGCCGACTCTGGATTTGTCCCCGGCGTGCTCAAGGATGGCGACCCTTCCCGGCACGGTACCGAGAATGATGCGACCGGCTCCGGGGCAGAACTATCCCCGCACGGGATTTCCTTTGGAAGGTAAGACTGCTCGGGCTTGCCTCGCCTCAACTGCTCCGCCTGGGATTCCAGGTCCTTGCAGAGGTGGCCGTCTCCAAGGGGTGGTGGCGGCGCCCGGGGTCGCACCGGGATCCCCTTCTTTTCTGGGTCCGGGTTCGGGGCGTGGGACCCGGGAAGTGTCTGGGACCGACACTTGTCCGTTTCTGCGTGGGTTTCGCTGACCCCTCGGACCCTGCTTCACAGGTGGAGCTGCTGGCCTTTACCCGCAGGGACGAACCCCTGGTAGATTTCAGCTCCTAGTAAATTTTAGGTCCTAGTGAGTTTCAGCTCTGGCCACTATTTTCAGATATGTCTTTTCTGATCGCTTCTCGGCTCCGGGCTCGCTGGCTACCGGTTTTCTACTCTTGTCTTGAATTGTTCTTTTCATAACCAGGATTGGTATTCCAATCCCTTTTATTTCGAAATACCAACAATGTCTGGTACATTGTACGCCTAAGCCACCAGAGGCTATCCGCTTCCATCAAAGCAACATTCAAACTCTCCTGCTTTTCGGCCTGGAAGCAAACTAATTTGAAATAATAAATAGGAATGCTATTTTTTTTCCCAAAAAAACTTTTCACCGGGGCTTCCGAAGTCTGGAAAACTCCCGGAAGAAAACCTCGAGACGGCGAGAGGGCCCGGCAATGTGGAAACAAGGGGAAAGTGTTCATTCTGCAACGTGTCCTTCCTAAATATCCAGAGCCCAGGGGACAGCAGAGCAGTCGGGCAGAGAACGGGTCCCCGGCTAGGAGCACACGGCTCTGACCCTTTCCCTGCGTTTTTCTTGTTTTCTTTTTAAACTAATGGAAGGAAGCCTTCAACCTGTCACTGAGGGATCATTTGGCTTCTGGGGGTAGGTAGCCCGGGGTGTCAGCAAGAAGTGGTTAGAGATATGTGCGACTTTTATTTTTTTTAATCACTCTTCTTGTGATTGCATGAGCCCCCTTGTGCGTGAGGAAGGGGAGAGAAGACAGGGAGGGGGTGGGCGGGCAGGCGGCCTGCGATCTGGGGAGGGGGGCCCCTCGGGCCGCGCGACGGCGCCGGGTCCCTGAATGAGACAGAGGCGAAGAGAGCGGCTCCGTGATCAAGTGCGCGCGAGCAGCCACGCAGGCGGGAGAGCGCACGAGCCCGGGGATTTGCCGCGGCACTCTCCTGCAGCGAATGCAAGTGAGACAGGCGGCCGGGGACGCGCGACGGATTAGGACAATATTTGCCCAACATGACGCAGAATACTGAAGAGAGCCGAGTGCCGGTCGCTAAAGAGGCTCTTGAATATAAAGTTGGGCGCTCGAGAGCTCTCCAGCGCTAATGGCATATCCCGCCACGGAGACCGAGTGACTCTGACTTGGCGACGCACGATTTCTGATTAAATCCGAAGGTGGCTTCAGACACCTACTTTTACAAAGAGAGGTGGGGGAACCGGGAGAGAGAGGCGGGGGAGGTAGAAAGAGCTCAGCAGCCGGAGCCTCTTCTCGCCTCCTCCCTTCCAATTATACCGTCAGCTCCCTCCACTCGGGCGGCTGTGAAATCGTTCTAATCTTCCAGATCTCTGAAGCCGCTGAGTCCCCAAATTGGGGGGATCGAGGCTGGATTAGTGCACCGGGTGTCCCCCAACCTTCTGTGAGGAAATTGTGTAGACTTTGCAGGAAGGCGACCGGGACATTCTCTCCTCCCTAGCACATACCAGGGGAGCCTTGTCTTCCTGGTTCCAAAAGTTACCCACAGCCTGGAACTCTGGCCCATCTGTGTACTAGCCTCTCCAAGCCTGCAGGGACTGTTTATAGATTTCTGAGACTTGGTGAGGTATTTGATTTAGGAGCTTGCTGTCAGTAGAGTATGGCCCCCAATGGTCCCAAAACGAAATTAGAACTTTGAGAGTGGTTGGAAGTGAGGAGAGTTCCCCGAGGGACAGCCAGGTGCCCCAGAGGCAATGGCCAACAGCATTATGTCACTGGTCCCTCAGCTGTGCCCTGGCTGTTCAACCATGGGTAGGACAGCTCTCCTGCTCAAGACAGAGATATAAATGCTTGTAATCAACAGTCCTTTCTGGCCCCTAATAAAATAAATCGGTCTTGACCAGTAGGAGCATGGAACTGACCAGATGGGCCACATTTCACTGGTTATTGGTCTCTCTGAGAGGCAGGCAGGCCTGAGGCCCAAGCTGCAGCTGGGGGACAGAGAGCCACTGGTCCCAAAGTCTCTAAGGCTCCACCAGCCTGGCTTTGCTCTCTCACCTCTGCCTCTCTCCCTCCCCTTCTCAGGGGCATTCACATCCCCCAGGTGTGTCCTCATTCCTCCTAGTGTGGCAGGAGTTGGGGAACACAGCATCCTGGGGGATGCTTGCAGCCATGACCCCTTTTTCCATCCCTGCAGGACCCTCCCACGGCTTCATGACAGTTGTCCCCCATTTCTGAAGGAAGCTCCGCATGTCAGGGGTTTCGGGGCTGAAACAAAACTTGAGTCGAGGAGCGCACTCAGTGTGTCCTCCCCACCCTCACCCTGTGCTTCTCTCCTTCCTCATCCCTCCTCCCTCCAGTGTCCACCCCGCTGGGCCAAGGCCGGGTCAATCAGCTTGGCGGGGTCTTCATCAACGGGCGACCCCTGCCTAACCACATCCGCCACAAGATAGTGGAGATGGCCCACCATGGCATCCGCCCCTGTGTCATCTCCCGCCAGCTGCGTGTCTCCCACGGCTGCGTCTCCAAGATTCTCTGCCGCTACCAGGAGACTGGGTCCATCCGGCCTGGGGCCATAGGCGGCAGCAAGCCCAGAGTGAGTGTCTTTGCCACAGAGTTTGGCAGGCAGCCCTTTCACGGGGGAACCTGGCTGTGGCCCCTCTCACTACCCTGCGTCAGCCAGTACCAGCGGGGGGGGGGGTCTATATGCTTCCTATGGAAAGTACAGAGGGAGAGCCCCCTACTCCCATATATCCCCCCATTATTTTACAATTCTTAGAAAATTTTCAGGGATAGGAATAACTAAGGTCTAGGTGTCCAAGACTCTGAGGCCAATGAGCCATCTCTGGGCTGTCCCTACATCTGCCCCAACCCCTTACCACCATCCCAGACCAGGGGAAATCTTTCAGTCCGGCCTGAGATTGTGAGGGGAAGCCCTAGGAGTCCTAATTACGTTTCATTTTATTACCTACCTCTGTCCCCCCTCCAGCTGCCTTCCTGGGAGCCAGGTTTCTTGAAAGAATCAAGCCAATCTCAGCAGGGGGGGCATGGCGACCAGAGCCACCAGCTTGGCTTGGGGCTCTTGGGAGGTTGATATTAAAAGTATTTCCCTCCCCCCACCCCATCTTCCCACTCCTCCTCTCCCACCTCCACCTCTGAAGCAGGTGGCGACTCCGGATGTGGAGAAGAAAATCGAGGAGTACAAGAGGGAAAACCCAGGCATGTTCAGCTGGGAGATCCGGGACCGGCTGCTGAAGGACGGACACTGCGACCGCAGCACGGTGCCCTCAGGTGAGAAGGCAGCTGAGCCCGCAGAGCTCGCCTGGAGTCTGGGAGATGGGAGACAGTGGAGGGGAGGTGACAGTCGTCAGAGAACTTGGAGAAAAGTTGGGAGGAAAAGGAAGAATGAAGGCAAAGAGAGTTCGGGCATCGGAGTGGATGCAAACAAGGATGCTGGAAAGAGGGAAAGAAAAGAGAGAAAATTAGAAAAGGAGAGAAGGGAGGAGGGAGAGACAGAGGCAGGCAGGCAGGCAGGGGCGCAAGGTCACTTAGGGTGTCTACAGAGACGGCTCTGTCCTAGGACGGTTGATGTCCACAGCGTCCCCGGACCCCCTTCTCTAAGTCATCATTTCTGTTCTGTTGCTACCACCAGCCACCCATGGGTCCCGTACTCGGAGGCCCCAAACCATGCTGCCTGTGGGAGGGAAGGCGGCCTGGTGCGTGCATGTACATGCAAGTGTATGCACAGGTGCATTCGGGCACGCAGGGCCAGGACACACACCTGAGCGTGGGGGTGATGGCAGCAGGGGCTGCAGGGACTTCAGGGACGTCCTGGGGCAGTGGGTTGTGAGCACAGGTGCATCTAGGGTACGCGACAGTGTCAGGAACACACGTGTGCCGGGACGTGTATAGGAACGCACCGGGTGGGTGCGTCTGTCCCAGTCTTACCACCACGTGAGGGCCCCAGGAGGGTGACTGTGCTTCAGGTGTCAATGCTTCAATGGCTGTGTGTGGGAAGCAAGGGGATGGCTGCGTGAGCGGGGAGGAGGCTCCACGGTCCTCTCCCAGGGCCCCAGGCGGCCGCGCTCTCTGCTGCCCAACAACTTATACTCGCTCTTTTGCCTTTGAATTTCTGAGGTTTAGTGAGTTCGATTAGCCGCGTGCTCAGAATCAAGTTCGGGAAGAAAGAGGACGACGACGAAGCGGACAAGAAGGAGGCCGACGGCGAGAAGAAGACCAAACACAGCATCGACGGCATCCTGGGCGACAAAGGTAGGGAGCTGCCCGGCGCCCGCGACGCCCGAGCGCGCCTTTTCCCATGCTCCGTGCGCTGGAGGCCCGGGCCGGGCGCGCCGCCGGAGCGACCTTTGCGCCCAGCGACCGAGCCGG